TTTACGACTCAAATCAGTGTAGAATGCATCTAGTAATGTCACTGCAGAAAACAGCAGGTGCTCATCCACTCATTTGCTGTGATTCTTGCAGGGAAGAAAGTGAATCAATGATTCACCCAGTGGACAAAGAAACGTCACAGCGACTATTTGGAAAAGTCAAACGCGGGAAAGGAACATTCTCATCTAAAGGTGTGCTCTGATTTTAGAAAGGAAAGCCTCCCACAGGAAAATCAGGAATTTTGTTGAAGTGCTCTGGTTGAACCTGCAGTAAGCAATGGCATGTTCCCTCTCTCCCTGCTTCTTCTGTTTTATTGCTTTTGTGTTGTACTTCTAAAATAAATATCAATAAATCATTGCAGTTAGATACTCTAATATAGACAGAAATGTACTTGACTCCCTACAGTCATTACAATTGGAGGGGACTCTGATTAGGATGCTTTACTTAATTAAGTGATATCGTCTAAAGAGAGTTCTTCCCTCCATTTTCTGTTTAACAGTCTTATAAAACACCAACAGAGGAAATTCATTCTGTTGTTTGCTTTCCTTATTGTAAATAGTTTATTCTCATTCATAGTTTACAGATGTTGTGTTAATGAAATGCCTAATAAGCCAAAGACTGGTTCAGCTACACACAGAGCCTTGTTTAAATCAGCCCAAGCTATCCCAGGCTTGAGAACACTTTCTCCCTCAGTCCTAGAAATACATTAAAAAAAATTTTTTTACAACATCTGTAACCTAAAATTAAGATGATCCAAAAGAAAACAAATTTTTTTCTGAGAAATCATGCTTCATCTGGTTTATGTATGGTTCAACAGAGACCTTAAAAATCTGTTTCTTTGAAAAAACAGAAAAAATGGGCAAAGAATAAGCAATCCTTATGCATAAGATGTTATTTGTGAGGCACTTTAATTTTACTGAAAGAAGTCATTAAATTTGGATTGCCAATACAAATATGATTATATATGTTTTCTAAATAAAATGTTATTATGTTGCAACTGAACTCATCCATTTATTGTTTGTTTACCTAATGCTCAAACGCATGTTTTATTCATAGATGTCTGGGAGAAAAAAATTTTGCTTGATAATCACACCAAGCATATTTAACAAAAGCAATTCTCCTTTTATTAGTGAACAAGTTTAAGCAGAATGATTTCATTTTTTTTCCATTTAGTTAATTCAGACTTGCAAAATCCCCAGTATACAGCTTTTGTTTCTCTCCTAGCTGCCTTTTATTTCTTTAATATATGCATGCCTATCCACTGATGGGAAAATATCATTTCCTGCAACTCTTCCTTTTTCCTTCTTAAGTATTCTCTCACTTGATTTCTGGTTTTGGTTAGTTTTCACTAGTTAGTTCTGTCAAATCATGTAGGAGACAGACAGAGTGAAGCCAAGTAAATAGTTCACTATCCTGTTGAAGGTTTTAAACTCTCTTTCATTACAGTGAATTTGAATTCAAAACATAGTTACTCATTCCATTAAAAATAAATAATATATTTGTATTTTTAAAGAAATCAAAAATTGATAGAAAGTAGTCAAAAAGTGAAGATGTATTAATATTTATGAAATTGTTTTTATTACCAAATAAAACATTTTAACAAAATGCTTGCAACTTTAGCAAAAAAAAATGACCTATTAAATGTAACAACTTTGTTTATTAAAAAGAAATATAAATGTAAACACTCTCTTAAATGAATTCAACCAGTTTACAATAGATTTTTTTTTTTTTACTTTAACACAATATGCAGCTAAAAGCATTTAATGACCTGGAAATTTTAAATACATGTAAGTCTCAAAATATAAAAATGAATATTAATGAATCAAATGCAAGGGGCTTTTAATTAATTGCTAACCTAGTAAAAGAACACTTTATAACATTGCTAAGAACCTGAATTGTTTTAATTCCTGACCAATATAGCTTGGTCATTTTTCAAGCAAAATAATAATTGTAATAATAACAATCCATCATTGCTAAATGAGTTAACAAATGCTGTATGACTATAAGGTTTTTAGTTTTGTTTTTGTTTTTAATTGCGTAACACTAGTCCTGCATAAAACCATTAGCTGGAAACATTCTGAAGTTACCTAACTTTTCTGAACTCCCAAGTTAAATCGGCTCTCCCATAGAAAAAACGTAAAACAATGTACCCCTTAGACATGTTACCCAAAGTGAATTTCAGAAGTTGCCCATAATTGCTTTTTTTAAAAGATACTCTTTATTAAAGACTAGCCTTATATTAGTTCTAAAGTTCATTAAATGTTAGTTATTTTCTTGATTTGTAATCTAGATAATTTTTACAACCAAAAGCTTAGTTAGCCTGCTTTCTATTAAACAAAGTTCTTTATCGATTTTCTTTAAGCCCTTCATTTAAAAAGATGCCTTTGTCCTGAAACTAAGCATATGACATTTCTGTCCCTTAAGAAAAATTTTAAAGACCTGAATAACAGCAAGTGAATTCTGTTAGAGATTTTATTCTATTTTCCTATATTTGTTCACTTCTTTAAAAATAAAGTAGTTTTCAAAAATAAAGAACATGGATTTTTTCTTAAGTCTTTAAGATGAATGAGGATTGTGTCTAATGAAGTACCACTGAAGTAAGAGTAGCTGCTGAATCATTATCTCGCAGAAGAATGTGAATACTATTTTGCCGATCAATTATTTTTGTCAAATGACTTTTCTGTCTAAATTGTTTGCTTTAAGAAATAAGGATTTTAGAGATAAGCAAAATTATTATAATATGCATTTTTAGAGCATTATTATTCCAATTCCCGTAAACCAAACTAAATGCAACAGAGCCAGTTTCAGGCTGTTATTTACCGAAACTGCTTTTCATTGGAGCAGTGAACGTTTGTAGCTAAAGCTCCAATCTTGACAGGCAAAAATATCAGAGCTTAAAAATTTAAACACCAATAGTACTCTGCCTTTAATAGGCTCTTTAGTCAGAAGAAAAAATATTTACATCCTAACATAGCCTCTTTCTGGACTTGTGAGATGTGTGTTCTAAAGTATTTATCATCAAAGCTATTTGTCTCTGTAAAGCAGCAGAAAGAGGAAATTTCCTAAAGACAACCTAGCTAAGGGACACCCTCCTGCAATGAAGTAGATCAGATCTGTGCAAAGAAGAGTACAAAGCAATAGTTGGGTACCAAAGAGAAGATAGTTCTTTGAAAGTATTTTTTTATTATTATTCTACAGATACATATAATGTGTGTTCAAGAAAGAACATACTTAGCAAAAAGCTTTTTTGGGGAGTGGGAAGAGAAAAAAACATCCTGGGTGATGTGAGAGGAGAAAACATACAGACCAAAACAAAATGGACAACAAAAACAGCCCAAATCAACCAAATTTGTTGTCTTCTAAAGCATGCTTTCTTTCAGCAAGAGATGACCACCGTGTGAGGAGTAAATTCCTCTGATCAGCAAGGTGCACTTTATAAATCCAGGAGAGTGAATCACTGACTTGTTTGGAAGACAACTCTCTTATGCATAGCACCAGAGTCGCCGCTATTTTTGCCTCCAAAAAGGGCACCTCCTAGACGTCCACAGATTTGCTTTTTGAGGGAGAGAGTTGTAAACTATTGTCCAAGGGTATATAGTTCTGATTCATGTTAAACATTTTTCACAAACTACCTTACGAATGTGTTTCGAAGCACCTCAGTGGCCCAGGGCAAGCTCTACCTTTAATGTGAGAAGACAAGGTAACAAAAAGTCTGTCACACACACACACACACACACACACACACCAAAATTTTCAAAAAGTTTGCAGTGAGGGGGAAGGAGAGAAGGAAAACAAATGTTATTTCTAATGAACAAACTATAAATTTCACAAAAATATAACAAAAGCAACATTTTTGCCCTAGTAGAACAGTTTCTGTTGTAGAATAAGCGAAACGAAAGTAAAACTTTTGAGTAGAACCAAACATTGAACGAATTGTAGAAAAATAAAAGTGTTAAATGTTGTACATTAAGACGTATGATATAGTCAATATAGTTGCCTTAGTTCACTATTCTGTTAATATGAAAATAGCTATAATGTAGTACTTCATTATTTGTAATATAATAACTCATCATTCATAATATATGGCTCAATGGTCCAGGAAAAGCCCAGCTAGCTTTCCTAAGTATAATAACCACACATAAATCATATAACAACTCAAATTCATGCCCTAAATTTTATTTTCAAAAATTGATATTTTTCCCATATTCAAATGCATATAAAATTAAAAAAAAAACACACGTAACTAAGATTATCCCCTAAAACACAAATAGAACAACCTTTAAGGATTTTCAAGATCTTATTTTTGTAACAATAACTTAGTAAAAATAATTATTGGCAAGAGCAATTGAAATGCATCATATATTTTAATGACTCAAATATTTATTTCTACTCCTTTTTGCATCAAGACTGTGGGAAATTTTTATTATAGCGATCAGATGGTGCACTGATGTGAGAAATGTTGCAAAGCATCCTGTTGATTGCTTCTAATTAACTGCAATGCTCTTGTGTTCTCAGTTTTAGCCGGCACACACTACACAATGCCTTTTATTTTGCTTTGAACGGATTTTTACTTAAAAACAGCTGATCTCAATATCCACAGCATTTTGGCTTTTTTTTTTTATCTCTTAACATTTTCCTGGAATATTTTCTTTTCAATTTTAAAAGATAAATTTGAAAACATTTCTAAAGCATAAAGTATAATCAGTTAAATTAACAGCACTCGTGTGGTCTTTCACATGTATTTTGCATGTTCTATAGTACGTGATTACATTCTCAAACCACATTTCAATTCCTCTTTAAAAGTTATACATCTGAGCAATGGTTTAAGAAGGAAATTCTGAAAAGCAATTTAGAGCATGCGGCTAATTTTTAATTTTTTTTTTTTTTTTTTAGTTTTTGTTAGCAGACTATTAAGTAGCACAGATCTGAAACATAGGACCCAAGCAAGGGGATGGGAAGGATTTCAGAATTAAAAGTATTAAATAAAATTCTTTGCACTCACCTTTCTCTGATGATTTAAGCTCAAGCAGCCCTGACAGAGAGAAGTCATGAATTTTCATCAACTTCACACATGTCATACATTTAAAAACATTTTGATTTGCCCTGGGACCCCTGCATGTGTCTGAAAGGACAGTAACAGCGCTGTGCTGGTTTGTAAGTACAAACCCTCTGAACTCCCAGAGCTCTAGAAGATATATTACTAATGTAAACAGCCTCTTAAGTGAAAAAAAAAAAAAGAGCATTAAATAACAGGAAGTTTCCAAGGAAATGCAGACTTTAAAATAGAGTATTATTAGAAGCAGTACACTTTCTATAATTTTAAGTGCCATAATTTTATCCGTACACTAGCTTTCTGAGAACATGTAATTATCTGACCCAAGAAACAACCCTTTTGGAAAGGAAAATTTATAACTTAAATATTAGAGCTAAATTATTAATTTAGCCTAGTAGATGTTGAAAGTGATTAAATAGTCCTTCTTTTGTGCATATTAGGATAAAATGTGGCTTAGGTGAGCAGAAATGCCACAGTTTCAAAACAGCTACCAACATCCTAATATTTCCAGGAGGAGGGCTAAGTATATTAAGTAAAGTGCAATAAAGACAGAATTTTGCCCTAAATAACATGTCCCCGGGATTATCCTCCAAATACTTCTCTCTTGAAATTGTGAGAAAGCATAAAGACAAGGTGAGAAATAAACATTAGGAGGGATTAATAAGGGCCAAGTCATAAATCATATAATGATATAAAGTGACATTACAAATAACTTAACGTTGTGCCCTCAACTTTACAGCTGAGGAAAATGAAGCCCAGAAAGGTAAAGTGACTTCCCCAAGGTCTTTCAAAGACTAAGACATAAAGCTGAACTAGAGGCAAGTCTCTTGACTTTTGGTAGCACTCTTTCTACAACACCACACAGTCTTTGAATTGAGTAACAGAAGGGTCAGCTCAGGTGGATGTCAATCATACAGTAAAATGAAACCATGAGCAATGCTCTCTTCACCCGAAAAGGTATCCACAGGGCAGACAAAATTAATCCGTGATCTTTACCCAGTGCTCACAATCATCTTCCTTAAAAAGATGCCTCTTTGGAAAATATCTTTATGCCTTCCTTTTTGCTTAGGGTTTGAGGATTTGTACCTGTTTAATAAAATAGCACTCGTTAGAACTCTTCTACCGGGGGGGGGGGGGGCGGTAAAAACAACCACCAGAAAGCCTCACTGTTACTAGTTTGTCCCACTTCTAATCCATTCTCCTGTCTGCAGACTGCATGGTTTTTCTAAAATGCACATCTGATTATGTTTGAATGTTTTCAATGACTTTCCATCTGCTGCAAGATAAATCTACACTTCTTAGTCTGGCATTCAAGGGTCTTCAAAATGTTTAGCCCATAGCACCCCTTCAGTTTTACTCCCAACAGTCTCCTCACACTTCCTACTCTGGCAATACAACCTAGGTATGATTCCCTGAACGGAATATGCTTTTCACTGCCTCTGGGCCTTTGCACATACTTTTTCCTCCACCTGGACCTCTGTTTCTCCTTCAAGAGTGAATTCAAGTGTTACCTTTTCTCCTTCTGCCACGTACAGATGCTTCTTCCCTTGGGATCCCATTGCATTTTTGCACAGACCTCACTTTACTCCACTCATTGCACTGAACTGTACTTGTCTATTTTCATGCCTGTCTCTCCAAACACATTGTCTTTGAGGTCAGAGACGTATCTTTTTCTCCATGCGTAGAACTTTGCCTGGTGTAAGCACTCATGAATGTTTACTGACTGAATAAATAAATCAATAAATAGGCCATACATTTTTCTTATCATAAAATCTTTATGTCTTAGGGTGATACCGCCTAGTTCTTCCATATAATGTTTAAACTGGATATGCATTGACAGCAGGATATTTGTATCAACCTCCATTTTTGGTTTCTATCAAAAAAGTATAATGTTATAAATACTCTTTCACTATAGTGAGTTGACTTGGCATGAACTTGGTGACAAAATACCAACTCTTATCTACATGTGAATAAAAAAGAGAATTCTTGAGACCACAGTGTGTCATCATTGTTCCAGACAGGGCTAAAGTACATTTCCTTTTAGGGATCCATTTCTTGTTAGGAACACAAGTCAAAGGGTGACCTATAACCCGCTAAGAGTATAAATGCATATTTGGAAATACAGGAAGCAATATCTGTATCTTCACGCCAAGTGAGTGCTTTAAAAGAGGACGTTTAGTCTTAAATAAATGGAATTTAGATTTGAGATTTAACTTATTTAGGGTTCTGTTGCTGTTTGACTCCTTCCAGTCTTCCTCATCTTGTTGAGCAAATGCTACCGAGATGCAAATAATCTCCTAGGGAGCCTGCTCAGGGGAAGCCAGGGAATGTCCTTGGTATATAAGTGCACATTTTCCTCTTGAAATAATACCCTCATACTCATTGATGAAAGGCTTCACATTCAAAATGGAACAGAATCTGCCAGTCTAGTCTTTTTTAACATGTACATAATCTTGAGCCAGGGCCCCAAATCAATGAAGAGAGACTCCAGTATTGTTTGGACCAATATAAGGCAGAGGACATCCCAACCCTGAAGCTACTTTCAATCTTTTGATTCCCCCCACCTCCACTCCATTGGTTCCATGGTGCCCCAAAGCTGCAGCCCCTACTCAAATGTGAGGGGTGCTCCCCAAGGGATAGGAGTTGGGAACACAGTAGCCATCGCTCTTGCATAATAGATTCCTCTTGGCCATTGTACCACCTTCCCTAGAGCGGCCCTATGTGGCTTTATCATTAACAATCAACACTAGTTCTTAAATTATTTTCTAGTAGATGAGACCACACTGGCCAGTTCCCATCCCCACTCCAAAAAAAATGATAGGATTTTGCAACCTTCTGGTCCCCTTACCCCTTCAGAAGATGGCTACCCTTTAGCATTTTTAAAGGTCTTGAAAGGTGAGTGCGCCATAGAAAGTTGTAGTCTGGAATGTAAAAAGAGATTAACTCTAAGGATTTTCCAAGTCACTAATTTTTAGGGTTCATTTTGTGTTACATCTAAGCTTTGGGGGTTTATGTTTGTTTTAAACATTGCAGTATTACCCCAAACAGTTTTCTTTGAATAGGCAGGGAAATGTAAGCGATTCCTCTCTTGCTAACTAGCATAGAATGGGGCTTCTTTTCTGGCATTTTGAGTCAAACCCACGTAGAATTTTAATAATTTTTTGTTCACATAAAAAAAAGAAAATGTTAATACTCCTTTTTCTTTTTATTTTTGTAACTCAGAAAAGATTATAAGGTAAACAGTAAAAATGTTTCACAAATTCATTTGTTCAGCAAACTTACTGAACAACTATTATGTGCAAGGCAATATACGAGATACCCACCAAGAGACACACAAGGGGAAAAAAAGAACACAGCTACTTACAGCTCTAAATTTACCAATGTGAAATGTGACCACTATCAAATCACACAGGCTTAGAATTTCCTTCTGTCCACTTGCTATCTGTTCTCTTAAAAGAAAAACGTCTCTGGCAGGAGGTATTAGTCAAGTTAGAAAATGTTCATCAGGGGGCGCCTGGGTGGCTCAGTCGGTTAAGCCGCTGCCTTCAGCTCAGGTCATGATCCCAGCGTCCTGGGATTGAGCCCCACGTCCGGCTCCCTGCTCAGGGGAGAGCCTGCTTCTCCCTCTCTCTCTGCCTGCCACTCTGCCTACTTGTGCTCTTTCTCTGTCTCTCTGTCAAATAAGTAAATAAAAAATTAAAAAAAAAAAGAAAGAAAGAAAATGTTCATCAGCATAAATTCTAAGTTTATAACTTAATAAGCAAGAAAAAATATATCTATGTCTTCAAGTTGGGTGCAGCCGTTTGGAAGTTCCTCCCAAACTTGTAAAAGGACATTGGCTTTGGTTTTCTTGAGGGTCTGAAATGAATCCATTACATTAAAATGGCTCTTAGTAGCAAGAGCAAGTAATTATTTGCATTATAAGCTAATAAAATGGAGGGTTAGGCATATTTGTACAAGATCTTTTTTTATTCATTTTTATAGAGATTCTCTCCCATTCTTGCTTAAATGAACTTGGAAGATTGTTCATCATTCAGTATTGTTTAAATTATAAGGCACATATCAGTCATCTGGTTTTTAAATATTTTTCCCCTTTGCTACTGTAGATGAGTAATGTCCACCTTCATTCTTTAAGAATACACTAATGTAATGATAGTCTAATTTTGGCAAAAAATTAAATTAGTTTTTTTATATCTCACATCAAGAGATGTCCTGACATATTAGAAAATACAATATTCTTCTAAAAAGTACACTTTGCTAGCCTTCCTGAACACTCATACTTCAGTGAATTGTACCTATCTGTTCAAAAAGTGCAACAAGGGCCTCTCACAAAGGCAAATCCCCTGGAAAAACTTCATTGATGAAATCAGTCTACTTACTTTTCATGGTACCTACCGGTAAAAGCTATGGCTTTATCCTCAATCATGATAGTTCATTCCAGATCCCAAAGCTGCTTCCTATGGAAGAGTATGAGAAAAGGGCCTAACCTGCCAACAAAGGAGACCCAGGAAGTCTCGTTTCACCCTATGGTTCTTTTATGTTAGACTTCTAGATTTTACAACCTCAAGGAAAAAATGCTAATGTTAGAGTGAGATGTATTTTGCTTTATGTCCCTGTATGCCAAATACCTACTTGTTTCAATTTGAGGTAGGAAAAAACTATTTTTATATAATCTCAATTTTATATAATTTCTCTGAAAGTTGAATGCCTAAGGCTTATTAAGTTAGCAATAATTTCTCTATGAAAGCAAATGTGAACAGGCAAAAGTTTGTTCTATTGGGCGCCTGGGTGGCTCAGTTGTTAAGCGTCTGCCTTTGGCTCAGGTCATGATCCCAGGGTCCTGGGATTGAGTCCCACATCGGGCTCCCTGCTCGGCAGGAAGCCTGCTTCTCCCTCTCCCACTCCCCCTGCTTGTGTTCCTGCTCTTGCTATCTCTCTCTCTGTCAAATAAATAAATAAAATCTTTAAAAAAAAAAAGTTTGTTTTATTGACAAGAAGTTATAATCTTCCAAATTTTATTGAAAGCTCTTGATTTTTCCCCCCTACTACTGATAAGGGACACTTTTCCTGATTTTTGCCCCTGTTAGTAA